TAAAATTTACCTTCTCGTTCTTTTTGCTTTCTTTTTTCTATCAAATGGTAAATCTATAACATTAATGTTTCTTTTTAGTTGTCTTGTCGTCGAAGATGATGATGATGATTGTTTTTCATTTAAACCACGATCATCTACTTATATTGTGATGGATGATGATAAAGAACTTGTCGAATTAGATGACATCGTAACTAGTTCACTAGTCGACGGCACAAAATTGGATGATAATGTTGGATTTGTTGCTGCAGTTGAAACTGATGATGATTATTGATTATGTTAACGACTGGTAACTGCTGGTTTTTAATTAATTCTTTGATTTTTCTACAAGTAATATCACTACGTGAACCTTGTAAATGCCTGTAAAAATTTGAAATTTGAAATTTATCACGATTTATTGTTAATGATATCATTTTACCGCAGCAACATTTTATTTTACCCATGATTGTATCACTTGGACGATTCAACATAGAAATAAAAAAATGTTGACCTTCAATGAACGAAAATTGTGAAGAATCAATATTTGATTTATTATTTTCCCACCAGTAATTTATTGAGTCCACTATATATTTTTTATGTTCATTATTTGACAAATTTGAATGTTTAATTGTTGAAGTTTCTGATAGATCACTCAAAGGAATATCAGATACTAATTTTGTTCCTGTTGAGGATGCTACTGTTGTTCTATTTAATGATGATGATGATTGAATATTTTTCGAAGATTTCGCACGTTTTGCATCTTCAACACGTTTAAGTTTCAGCAAATCAATAAGATAATCAACATTTCCTCTTATACCTGGTTTTACAACATATATATCGTCATCTTGTAAATAACCAATTTTCTTTTTTAGGTATTCTAAACGTTTGCTTTTAATATTCATAATAGAGAAAATGTCAAATGTCATCAATAATGATCATAGCAAATCGAGTCGATTTTCTTGGGGGTGGTTTACAAGAAAACAGTATACATCATTCGATTCAAAATTCTATAAGGATTCCAAATATGCTACCTCCTTTCCTGGACAACTGTTAATTTTTGAGAAAAGAACGAAAAACTAGTTTACATTGACAGTAGCGCCTTTTTTTTCTTTTCTGTCATTTCTTCTTCACTTGTGAATATATTCTTTTTCCTTTGATGTCTCTTATTTTTACATATTCACGGGATAAACAGACAGAGCAAAAAAGAAAATAGCCATATATATTCAGTATTGAAAACTTATTTCTACAGTTTGATTTAATGTTCATTTACTTTTCAAAGCAAGAAAATCTCACCATGAATTTAATTCGTAACCCGTTAACATGAAGAAATACAATATCATTAATTAGAACCTACGCATCTTTATTTTCATGCAAACTTCAAGCATATAAGTTTTGTCACTCTGCTGAGAAGTTTTTCAATAAAAAACACCAAAGTTTATTGGCATATCAAACTGCCTATATTATGTTAAAGTCAGGTATTAAAATATACTCTTTATTTTCAATTCAGTAAGCTACACAATTAGTTATGGAAAGAAGTCTTAAATTTGATGTCGGATGTTAATGCTCAATTTCGAAACAACATTTTTTGATGACTTCTCCCTGTTTTCTTTGGGCTATACCAGCTTAGTTTTACAAACGATCTTTATTAATATCTTCTTTTGAAAAGCAAATTCACGAAAAAGATGAAAGAAACAAATTTTAATTAAATCACACATACAGATGTTGAGTATCTTCTTTGAAAAAAAATAACTTATATAGTGATGATAGTATACACATATTTAAGGAAAATTATTGAAGATAAAAACTGTTTCTTATCCTTATTCATTCCAATACGTAACGTTTACAACTTGTTTCACCTGTTAATTATGGATGTAAACTTGTATGTGCGATACGTGATTGTACCCAGGTCGAGCATTACGGTTACGAGAAACGGCCGTATTCGGCCGTGAATTCACCGTTCTGAGACTTTTTGAGACCTTTTGAGACTCATTGAGACTTATTGAGACTCATTGAGATTTTTTGAGACTTATTGAGACTTTTTGAGACTCATTGAGACTCATTGAGACTTTTTGAGACTTTTTGAGACTTTTGAGGACCCAGAGAAAAAGACGTTTCGAAAATTTTTTGAGAGGTTTCTGGGCCGGAAGAGAACTCCTTATAATAGTGTGAAACAGTTGAAAAAAGACTCGACGGGAAGCAGTCTGGCACCTTGTGAGACTTCTTTGGAGTTCTTCTGAAGATTGCGAATAGGTACGAAACATTCTATTTGAATGCTGTGAAGACTTTTCTTGTGAGATTTGCTAGCGCGCAAAAGCTTGAAAAAATGTCGTTTTCTAGATTTCACAGACTTTTTCCAAGAACTTTCTGCGAAGTGGAAAACTATGAAAGCAGATGTGAAAAGACCATTAATGATTTTTTCATTCAAAGGCAGGATTTTATTCTAGTGAATGCTTGGGTTTGGGGATATTCTCTAATGGAACGCTTTGTGTTAAAAACAAAATGCTCAGGCATTGCGGTTTTCTTTTAAATCGGTCGTATGCTAGAACACTTCTTTAAATATATACGAAAATGAAGCAGGATCCTTCCTCAGAGACCATATAGGGACCTCATCAGAAAAGCTATCCAAACGACTACACTTCAATAACCAGAATCGATTACTCATCGTTCTTGTTCGTGGTTCTTTGTACACCTCAACAGCACATACCTCGGCGTGCGTGTCTGTATAAAAACAGGAGCGGGACTCAAAAAGACGGAAAAACACTCTTTCTTCATCAAATCATCCGCTAAACATTCGATTGTTCATACTTTTTGCTACGACGTCATTCTCAACTGAAACGACCACCAGCACGTGGTACAGCCATTTATATAGTAGGGCGTCAGACTCGAACAGACTACAAAAAACTCTTTTCTGATCAAATAATACTCTTCAAAAATCCATTGTTCATACTTGTTACTCATATCTAACACTATATGCAAATGAGCACTAACCCGTGCTGCAGCTTCTTATACAGTAGCGGTGAGACTCAAAAACGCTAAAAAAGACTCTTTTTTGATCAAATACTACTTCTCAATATCCATTCTTCATACTGGTCACGCATACGTAACTCTCAATTGAAATCACCACGAGCACCTGTTGCAGCCCCTTATATAGTAGGCGTGAGACTCAAAAAGACTAAAAAAGACTGTCTTTCCATCAAATCATCCGCTAAACAATCGATTGTTCATACTTGTTACTCATACCTGAATCTCAATTGAAATGACCACGAGCACGTGGTGCAGCCCTTTATATAATAGGGGGTGAGACTAAAAAAGACTAAAAAAGACTCCTTTTGATCAAATAATACTCCTCAAAAATCTATTGTTCATACTTGTTAATCATAACTGAATCTCAATTAAAATGACCACGAGGACGTGATACAGCCCTTCATATAGTAGGGGGTGAGACTTGAATAGACTAAAAAAGACTCTTTTTTGATTAAATAATACTCCCAAAAAATCTATGGTTGATACTTGTTACTCATACCTGACTCTGAACTCAAATGACCACGACCACGTTGTGCACCCATATATATAGGGTAAGGTGGGCCTGAAAAGACAGAAAGGAAGACTTTTTAAAGGCCAAGTAACAGTACTGTAAAATCGATTTTTCGCACTTGTTACTGAAGCCTTGTACTCAAGCGGCATGAGGGTTGATAGGCGGTGCCGCCCTATATTTAGAGTACGGTGAGTCTCAAGAAGACCGAAGGGAAGACTTTTGGTAGGTCAAGCAACGGTGTTTGAAAATCGATTTTTCTTACTTGTTACTCACAATGTGCGCTGAGCTCGAATGAGGGTGAACAGGAGAGGTACCCCGATGTATAGGATAAGGTGAGTCGGAAAAGACTCAGAAAAGACTATTTTTCGATTAAGGTACACTGCTGGAATGCCCGTGACTCTTTCTCGACTTTGTAGAAACGCAACTTTTGTTATCTGTCAACTAGTATACGCCATCATGAGAGTATGTTATTGATATTCAATAATAGAAATTCGCCGACATTAACGATCGTTTGCGACGAAATACAATAACAAATGTTGATTCTATATCAAACGAATTACAATAAACAAAGACGGTGCGTCGCGATATTATGCGATGAGCGTATACAATCGGCATATTGTTACAGA